TGTGTGTGAGAGAGTGTGTGTAAGTGTTTGAGTGTGTTTGTTTGAGTGTGTGTGTGTGTGTGTGTGTGTTGGTCAGAGAATGAGACGTCATGTGTGTGTGGAGCAGCGTAGTGAGGCCTGTGATGATGAAGAGGATAAACATCATAGTTCTCCAGAAGAAGAGAATAAATGCTGCTTCACTTTCAGTTTTGTACTTCAGTTTGACTGTGAGAGAGAACTTTTACAATGTTGTTCAATCATGATGTAAGTTGTGCTTCCTTTTGGTCGAGATCCAATAACCTTCAGAGTCTGAGGCTGACCAGAGAGAGAGAGAGAGAGATGGGGGGGCAGGCACTATTTTTACTCTTATCAGCATCACCATATTGTACAAGTACATCCTCCTGTCCAGCAGAGAGCGGAAAGCTCTCTCTCTCTCTCTCTCTCTCTCTGTGTGTCTCTCTGTGTCTCTCGTCCAATACTAGTTCAGCTCAACTGGTGTCCAGCTGGAGCAGCTTGTCTGTTGGTGATGGGGGGCAGATGGAGAGAGAGACAGGAACTCGTGCATCACTTCTACACCAGCGCAGTGCTCCGTCATTCCTGCAGTGAGGTCTCCGCTCCGTGTCTCTGATCTTCACTGAACGCTGGAGAAACTACGGGAAGGAAACGTGAGGAGGAGAGCGAGGGTGCGATTGCTTCACAGAAGACGACAGAGAAAGTGACCACAAACACGGTGAGTGACCGACGAGATCTCACACCGCAGCAGACGCTTCTTCAGGAGCAGTGCTGACACTCGGAATAACTTCATGCATTTATCAAGCAGTACTGACATGAGAACAAACTCATTTGAGAATCAGAGAGTTCTTGTAAACTGACATGGACATTAAAGACTCGACGACGCTTGAAACATTGGAGGAACGTTTGGAAGAAACGTGACTGTGAAATGCGTGATGTTTCATGTGAGTGACCATCTGAAAACACCTGGAGCTTCTAGAACATCGAGTGTGTGTGTTTTGTTCAGGATCGGACTGGTGTTGTGAAAAATAAAGCTCATTAAAAACTGTACAGAAAGAGGAACCTAATGTGAGGAATAACAGCCGACGTTTAAAAGAGGGAATCGGGAAGGAAAGCTTTTGCAGAAGCGTGTGTTGAATCGCTCTTTGTGTCTGTGTGAGGATTGACTCGTCGATCAATCAGTGACTGATCTCTAGACAGCAGGACGACTGACAGATGATATACGCACCAGTAACAACTAACACAAGCGGACACTGATAGCAGCTGTTCCTGATGATCTCAGAAAGGCCGACACTAACATGAGCTGTTTTGTTTCAGCAGTGGATGTGTTTTTCGGTCACTGAACTGGAGTGACTCTGGATTCACCTGCAGTGTGAATGCGAATCGTAAATCCCCCGTATACTCACAGCACAGTTACAGCATCCCAAGAGCACACCTACATATTACACGCTCGCTGCGGACCAGTGGCAGTTTGACGGTGTTTACAAGCGGAGTGAACTTTTCTGGAACCTTTCTTGTCTGGCAAGAGTTTATTTCAGAAGTTTGAAACAGCTTGCCAAGCCAAACGTTTTTTGTTTCAAATGATGTCACACCAGTTTTGTTCTTCATATGTGACCCTGGAGCACAAAACCAGTAATAAGGATCAATTTTTTTAAAATTGAGATTTATACATCATCTGAAAGCTGAATAAATAAGCTTTCCATTTATGTATTTTTTTGTTAGGATAGGAAAATATTTGGCCGAGATACAACTATTTGAAAATCTGCAAAAAATCAGAATATTGAGAAAATCACCTTTAAAGTTGTCCAGACAAAGTTCTTAGCAATGCATATTACTAATCAAAAATTAAGTTTTGATATATTTACGGTAGGAAATTTACAAAATATCTTCATGGAACATGATCTTTACTTAATATCCTAATGATTTTTGGCATAAAAGAAAATCTATAATTTTGACCCATACAATGTATTGTTGGCTATTGCTACAAATATACCTGTGCTGCTTATGACTGCTTTTGTGCTGCAGGCTCACACATATTTTATAATAGTAATATCATAATATGACTTCAGAGGCTGCTGTCTCGGACTGTTTTGTTGTTTCAGGACCGAACAGACATCTGCAGACCTCCCCATGAGGAGCGATGAGAAGAAGCGATCATCAGTCTCCGGTCATGATGGAGAACGAGCCGCCCATCTCTCCGTCTGTCCTCCAGCCCGTCAGTCCAGCTCGCTCGAGTTCCCCTGATGCTGACGCGGCTCGAGATGCAGAGAGCCGTACGCATGCAGTCGAACCCGAGACGGACCCCCGCCGGAGCCCCCCCGCCGCCTCCTCGCCGTCCCTCCCGCCCAACATCCCGGTCATCAGCCTGGCTCACAGCAAACCGCCGCTGCCTGCGCTCTCCATGCTGCGCCTGTCCCTGCTGCCTCCGGCCCTCCTGCAGACGCACCCCTTCATCAGCAGGTACTTACTAAAGCAATAAGCCCCGTGAAGCCGTGGTTTACAGTGAATTTATAACAGTTAAGGGCCGTTGTTAGGTACGTTAGCTGTTGTAAATTCACTGTAAACCACGGCTTCACGGGGTTTATTGCTTTTATAAAACGGTTATTCCATATACGTAGTAAGGTTTCACAAAATAAAACAGAGCAAATAAAGTGTAATGATATTAATAAAAACAGTATTCTTCCACCAAACAATGTAGCTCCTCAGAAACAGTTGTGGTTGCAACAAAGTAGTTGCCGAGCAACACAAATGTAAACAAAGGTGTATGTTACTTTGTAGAGTCATTTACAACAGCTTCGAACGCGGCTCAGCCAATCAGAATCAAGCACCGGAACTCTCTGTTTTATAAAAATTGTAATCTGTTACTGATTCCAAATGACATGACAAAAACTGTAGTTAGTAACGTAATCCATCACATTACACATTTTAGGGAATATAATCGGACTACTTTTTGATTACCTTTGTCCTAACTCATTTATCACATTAATTTAAATAGGATAATCTTTCAAATCTACCATGTCGATATAAAAATGCACAGAAGAATAATATATATTCCATTCATTGTTATTGATAGCATGAAGTGCATTAAACGTTACATTACATTATCAAGGCGAGTTCATGAGGGAACTGCTGATTGTTCATCAGTTTAATGAAAAGCAAGTAACTAATTAAATCATAAAAATGTAAAATTATAATAAATCATTTTAAAATAACATCAATCAAAATAAAACACTTGTTAAAAAATTTTAACATTTTATTTGTTTACCTGCATGTCATGTGACCATTAACCAACATCAGAGAACCGTGAACATGCAGATGTGACGCATAATTATTACAATATTTATTTTAAAATCTTAGGGGTACTTTAAGTAAATATATTAGGTGAAACTGGTTCTGCTCACAAAAAATGTTTGGGATTCCCTGCATTACATATGAATAAGAAATTACACAAATCTTTAAAAATGTTAAAAGAAGAATTAGTGAAAATCAATAAATTATCAATAGCTAATTTACTGCTATTGAGTGGATAATATGTAATCAATCAAAAATAACTGTAGTCTGATTATGAGTATTTTAAAATGTAATTTAATCTAATTTTTGGAATCTGATTACGTAATCCAGATCACATGTAATGGGTTACTACCCAGATCTGGTTGTTAGGGTTAGTTAGAGTCTGACTGAGTGATGCTGTGAGGTTTATAGGTGGTCACTAGGATATCCGGTTGTTAAAACCTGGTTGGTTTAGGGTTCTTCAGCTGTTTTCTTGTGCAACAAGTGAAAATGGTGCATCTGATCAGTTCGTGAAGTAGCAGCACCATCTCCTCAACAACACGCATGACTTGAGGAGTCCTTCATGTCTGGAGCACAAACACTATAGGTTAATGGTCTTATTGAGCTTCAGAGTCAAGAACAAACTGTTCTCTTGTAAACCAGTGACCTGCTGAACCTACAGCTTGATCTTTCACCTCTTTTAGTCTCGAAGCGCTGCAGACAGAATTAAGTCAGATCTATCTGAGCTGTGTGCTGTAATGAGGACAGAGCACTGACCATCACGTTTGTCCAATCAGTGGCAGACGCTCATCAAAAACTCAGGATTGCTTTTATAGATTTCTTTTCCTCCTTCATCTCCTCATGTTGCTCTCAGCTCTTTCCTCGGACCATCGGGAAGCTTTGGGATCTTCGGGAATGCTCGTATGAAGAGACGGCCGTCCACACACTTCGAACTGGAGCTCAGTGACGGTACGTCGTTTAATCTGTGGGTGTTTTGTGAGGAGACACTAGGGCTGTCAAAAGTACTGACTTCGGTACTGAATTTTTTTAAAATGTGACGATATCAGCATTTCCCACAAACACCTCTGATTGGCCGTTGAGTTCACGCGCTCAATGCACAATCAGACATTTCTGTCGAGCACGTGAACACAGTGGCTTTGGTGCATTTCTCGAATCATCCCTAATATTTGCAAAGAAGTACGTGCATTTCTCAAAACAATTCGTACAAACAGCAGCACACAATGGATTACCTGCAAAAGCCTGTAACTTACTCAAAATCTTTAGTTCATCTCTCAAAAGCAAGTATTTATGTCAATGAACACATCAGTGCCATCAGAATGAAAAGTCCTTGTGTCATTGTTCACAAACGAGATGTTGTCAATATAACAGTGCACTCTGGTAGTATTACGTGATGTGAGAACAGTTTGGATCACAGTTACTGTACTGAAATGCTGAAGGCTGCACTTCTTATGCATGCTATATATCCATTTCAGAAGTACAAATTTGCACATTACTGTATGTGGGATACTGATTGAAAGAGACTGGATAGGATTCACAGTTACACTTTTTTACTAGTGTTCTGACAAAAAAAAAAACATTACAACGTCATTGTGATATAGAAAAGTAAAAGAAATGTGACCCTGGAGCACAAAAGCAGTCATAAGCAGCACAGGTATATTTGTAGCAATAGCCAACAATACATTGTATGGGTCAAAATTATACATTTTTCTTTTATGCCAAAAATCATTAGGATATTAAGTAAAGATCATGTTCCATGAAGATATTTTGTAAATTTCCTACCGTAAATATATCAAAACTTAATTTTTGATTAGTAATATGCATTGCTAAGAACTTCATTTGAACAACTTTAAAGATGATTTTCTCAATATTTAGATTTTTTTGCACCCTCAGATTCCAGATTTTCAAATAGTTGTATCTCAGCCAAATATTGTCCTATCCTAACAAACCATACATCAATGGAGAGCTTATTTATTCAGCTTTCAGACGATGCATACATCTCAATTTCGGAAAATTAACCCTTATGACTGGTTTTGGGCTCCTGGGTCACTAATATGGGCACAAAGGTGAAAAGTTTAGGACGACTAGATCAACCATTTTGCATTTAATGATGAACTAATGACTAGATTTTTTGACAGCTGCACAGAGAAGGAACTATATAATACATTTTTTTGAGCAACATGACATTAGCAACTGATGATGTAGGAAACCGCAGACAAATGTACATAATCAACTTCATGAAAGCACCAAAGCAATCGCAACTTGTTCAAAAGAATGAGAAACTGCTTTTATGATGTGCACAAGTGACTAGATGATGAAGTAGTTTTGAGAATCTGAGAAATGCACCAGAGCGACTGAGAACAACTGTAAGAATCCGCTCAACATGCTCGCGGGAGATGCTGCTGTCGTCACATTTTCACGATCTCAGCAGTCGGTATTTTTGACAAGCCTAGGAGACGCATGTTGTTTAGAGTTTTCACACTCTTCTTCATCCTTGGTTCAGCATCGTGGTGAACGCTCAGCTGTGTGGTTTCCTTCAGGTCCTCCTCAGAAGATGGCTCGGCGCGTCTTCACTAACAGCCGCGAGCGCTGGCGGCAGCAGAACGTAAACGGAGCTTTCTCCGAGCTCCGCAAACTCATCCCGACCCACCCGCCTGACAAGAAGCTCAGCAAGAACGAGATCCTGCGCCTGGCCATGAAGTACATCAGCTTCCTGGTGCAGCTGCTGAAGGACCAGACGAGCGGTCAGCGTGAGGACAGAGACTCCTCGGGCTGCGTGACGGTCTCCTCGGGCTCCAGCTGTTACGGGGACACAGACAGCGAGGAAAGCACGGGGACCTGCGGCATCCAGACCAAACACAGCGGAGGCATCACGGAGAAGGTGCAGGAACAGATACTGACGGTCACTGCGAGCAGCTACCAGCGCTGACCAGCTCAAACTGACCCGCTGGAGAAACGTTTAACCAGGGTTGCCAGGTTTTCACAACAAAACCCACCCAAGTGTTACTCAAAACACTAGCCCAATCGTGTTTCGAGGGGTAAAATGCATGGTTTATTGTGGGATTCCCCTGGTAAAATTCACATTTTAGGGGCTAAATATCACGTTATTGTGGTTGCTTAAACCCGTGGACATGAAAACCCCTAGCCCAATTCCACAGACTTGGCAACAGTGTGTTCAATCCTCGACACATAGAAACTGTGTGGTGTGACGCGAATAAAGCAATAATCCCCGTGAAGCCGTGGTTTACAGTGAATTTATAACAGCTAAGGGCCGTTGTTAGGCACGACGTGAAGCGGAGTTAGCTGTTATAAATTCACTGTAAACCACGGCTTCACGGGGATTATTGCTTTATTCGCGTCACACCACACAGTTTCTATGTGTCGAGGATTGAACACACTGTTGCCAAGTCTGTGGAATTGGGCTAGGGGTTTTCATGTCCGCGGGTTTCAACAGCTTCGAACGTGGCTCAGCCAATCAGAATCAAGGACCGGAACTCTCCGATTTATAAATTACATTTTGGATCAGCTGAAATCGGTGGCTTGTATTTCTGATTCATGTTTGGTGCGTCTCTGGATCCTTCATGTCTGCCACTTCTCCATTTCATTTCCTCACTGCAAAAAAAAAAGGCTTATCTTACTTAGTATTTCTGTCTTGTTTCTAGTCAAAATATCTAAAAATTCATAAATCAAGATGTATTTACTAGATAAGCAAAATTAAGTGCATTATTTTACTTATCCCACTGGCAGATAATTTTACTTATTTTAAGCAAAATACTCTTAATTTAGTTTTTTTCTCCTGGAAACAAGGCTAACTATCTTACGTCATTTTGCTTTTAGTAAATGCATCTTAATTTAGTCATTGTTAGATATTTTGACTAGAAGCAAGACAGAAATACTAAGATGTGTGTGCGGCTCGGTCAGGGAATAAATACAGTCTGTGGGTCCCTCGTGTGATCCTGGGTACCTCAAACTTCACGTCTGTGACGGTCTGACTGGATTATTGAATAATGTGTTGATCTTTTGAAAGCATCACGACGAACAGAATGTCTTCTGTCCTGCAGCGTCTTCAGGAGGATAATAGATGATCGTTAGCTCCGTCGGAGCTAGTAAATGTTTGGATGATGTGAAGCTGTAATTATGTGGCTTGCGTTCAAATGAATTTGGTCTGAATAAGTTAAACATGATAGTTTGAGAGTTTTCTGCGTTTTCACTTCCTAATGAGCACGGGAAGCTTTTAGCACTAGTGCAACACAATGAAGGTCACATGTGTCAGTGATCCGCAGAGAATGATGGGAAATGTAGTTTTGTAGTTTTAATTGGATAAGGCCTTGTCCACGCTAGTACGTTTTCGTTTGAAAAGCATCTTTTTCTCTTTGTTTTGGCCTTGTGTCCACACTGAGATGGTGTTTTTGTCAAGGAAAACAGCTTTTTGAAAATGCTGTTTTTGCGTTGTAGTGTGGACTGTGAAAACAGGCTTTTGAAAACGATGACGCATGTGACACACATTGTACCTATAGATATCTGTTTATACTGGTCCTGTGCCTGGTATGTGCTTTTCACTTTCGGTTACTTTGTACACTCTTCATATCACAGTCCTGCAAAGATGACAGAAAATTGACTCGCGGTTGCTGTTTTTGGCAAAACATGAGTTTAGTTGTGTTTTAGATCAGACATACAATCGTGAGTGAGTGCGACCTGAACGCGTCAGTGAATGCTGAGAAGTAGCGCAGTTGTCAAATGTAAATGTTACATTTTTTATTATTAGGCATGTTGTGAAAGACATGCTATGTTATTGTCAGTGTCTTGATTTCATGTCGATGTGTGTTTGCTAGTTAACTCGACCGATGCTGCGTCTGTTCTCGACTCGTTCTCCAGGGGGACGTGTCTTCTGCACTTATTGTGTCCCTCGGAGCAGATAGGATGTCCTCTGGCTCTTGTGTGATCAGGATTTTCCAGGATTTTCCATCATAGAGTGCCGGGACAGGAAAATCGTTTTGTTTAAAAAAAGGGCCATCCTGTAGCCGGACACAGTTTATCCATGACAGAAGCGTGAGAATACGAGCGGGATAGAAAGACTGTGACGCTGTTCGGCCGAGCTGTTTTTCCCACTGCAGCTGTGTGTGTGTGTATGTGTGTGTGTGTGCGCGTGCGCGCGGGGTCAGGGGTCAGGGGTCAGGGGTCAGCTGTGGGTTTGACTGCTTCTCGGTGCATCAGGTGTCCAGGAAGCTCCTACAGTTGCTGCTGTCTCATCGCCAGCCAACCGTCTTCCTGCCACGGAGCGCTTGCAGCTGCGCAGTTATGAAAGAAAAAGTGAAAATCATCCTGTTTCAGCCCTCCGTCACACACACACATACACACACACACACACTCCTGTGAACCGCATGGCAGGAAGGGAGACTTGCATAACGCTGTAATTCAGGGTGGAATGACACACCAGACGCCGCGTGGTTCGGGGTCTCACACACACACACTACACAGGGTTACCCAACCAGTGCTTCGTAACATTGTGACAGAAATGCCAAAGATGTAGTTTTTGAATAAGGTTACACTAACACACCGCTTCACAATCATGTGTTAGTGTGAAGTTTGGATACATGTGAGACATGTCTAATTCTCACTGTTAACTAGCTATTAACTATGGCTTGTGCCACAAACTGCTAATTTACTGCTTATTAACTGTTAGTAAGGTAGTTGTTAAGTTTAGGTATTAGCTAGATTAGGGATGTAGAATATGCTCATGCAGAATATGTGCTTTATAAGTAGTAAACAGCCAATATGTAAATAGGCATGCTGATAAGCAACTAGTTAATAGTGAAAATTGGTCCCCTATACTAAAGTGTTAAATGTGCGATTGCAAAAACCTTCTGCTGAAATGATGCTGAACGTTAGTTTTGGAGGCAAATGTTCGAATTTGATTAAAAAATTAGTATTCAACCCTAAACCTTCCTCTAATGCGTGTAGTTACCTTATATTACCCATTATTTTCTTAGGTACATGTAAGTACACATACTGTTAAATTAAGTGCAACCAATAGTTTTATGTAACATTTAATCACTACAAAACTACCAACATGTGATACTGAAATGCATTTTATTGAAAGTTTCACACACGTCAGATGTCTGAGAATCCTGGTCCTGTAGAGGTTTGGAGCTGCTGTGAGCGGTTCTTATGAAGGTAGAATGACGTCAAAAAGATTTGCATACGCAAAGATTTGTATTTTTTACTGTGTGTATGTTAAAACTTTGGCGAAAAAAACGTGCCAAAAGTGTAAGTGCAGAAAAATGGAAGTCAGAAGCATGCAGATCATATTTATTTTGCGTTAGCATGAAGCTGCAGTTTCACAATACATGAATTACACTTACGAGTAACAGTAAAATGCTGCAAATAATTTTTTCTTGCGCTTGAAACGCGATTTACACCTTTACAAAGCTTCTCTTGCGCATGCAAATTTAATTTACGCTTACAGTCTTATGTACACTTCCACAACTCTTACCCTGCGTATGCAAATCTTTTTGACGTCATTCTACCTTCATAGTTCTGCAGTGTTGTAAAGTCAGTTTAATGTTGATTCGGTTCAGTTTATAACCTGTGCAACAGCTGTGAAGCAGCTCTACAGAAGACAACAGTTCTCCAGCCTAACTCAGTCCATGCAGTCATATCGGTATATTACTTCAGACCCCAGCTAACGTACTACTGGAATGCTTCAAACTACATCTACTGATTTGTCACCACAGTAAGTCTTGAAAATATTTTGTATATCCAACAGCCGTTTAGTTTTTCTGGCGTTCTAGTGTTTTTTTTTTTTTAATAAAATAAGGGAAGTTTTTATTTTTTTTTAGGATTCCTGTGATGGTGGAGAACTTCAGGATGAAGACTGACTTTGCTGTTGTCTGATTGTATTAGTATTTTTTCCCCACATACATTTTATGGCACTGATAAGAATAACGGTGTAATTTTAAAAGAACCTCTTCCTTCGATCAGGGCACAGTGGCCCATCCATGCATGCTCTGACCCGCTTGTGCTGTGTTTGCAGGCTGCAGTGGGAACAGACTCTCATTCAGAGCTGCTGTCACTAATGTTTGCAGCACATGTTTGGGGAAGCTCTCACAGACACAGAAAAGTCTCGTGCTTCAGCCGGGACAGGACACATTCATATTTATTTGAAAGATACAGTTCTGTTTACTATATATTTAAATCTTTATATGGTGTTAATATCACTTGTTTACATTAACAGTTTAATAAAAATATAAATATTGCCCAGTCAGTCTGGAACATGTACAATGATAAATTATAAACTGTGTCCCTTTATTCCTTTCAAGAACATAAAAGTTTTTGTTTTTTTGGTGCACAAACGTATGGTTACACAACTGAAAAATGCAATGAACAGACAAGGGGCCTCATTTATAAAATGTTGCGCAGAAACCATCCTAAATTTGATCTTGCGATCATCTCTCAAATATGCGTACGTGTGATTCATAAAATGAACGTACGCATCTTTCAGATATGAAATCTATGAATCGCAAATGATCTTCAACTTGCGCGCAACTGAATGGTTTCAGCACTCTGCTTACGGAGCCCCTAAAGGGACATGGTGGTGGAAACAAATCAGATTGAGTGAAAAAAATTTGGGGTGGGAGGAAAAAATATTTGTCAGATTTTTTGCGTTCTCTCGCAAAACTTTTGCGTTCTCTTGCAAAGATATTTGCGTTCCTTCGCAAAACGCAAATATCTTCTGCGAGAGAACGCAAAATAAAAATTCCTCCCACCCCGAATTTTTTTCCCACCACCATGTCCCTTTAGGGGCTCCGTACTCTGCTTGTAAACGACTCGTAATTAATGTCACTAACATATAAAAGATCCCCAGTCATCGTCCAAATTCTTTAATTTACAACAGCTCACATTTCCAAAAACCTGCAGTACTCCCGACAAGAACAAGTGTGTGTCTGCTCAGACCCTGACGTGATGCTACGCACTTTTCCACGTCAAAGACAGTTTTTACTAATATGAGCGTTGGCGTGGACTTAAGCACACACACACACACACACACACACACACTCTCTCTCACACACACACACACGTCTGGTCAGCTATCCTTGTGGGGACTCTCCATAGGCGTAATGGTTTTTCTACTGTACAGACCGTATATTCTATTGCCCTACACCAACCCTACACCTAAACCTACCCCTCAAACTTTCTGCATTTTTAGATTTTCAAAAAACTTCATTCTGTGTGACTTATTAGCTTGTTTACTCATGGGGACCTCAATTTAGGTCCCCACCGTGACACGAGTCCCCATGAGTCTGTGTGTAGTCAGGTTTAAGTCCCCACTAGAATAGAAAAACAGGTACACACACACACACACTAAGATCAAATCTGAGCAACGCACACTTTATAAATGAGGCCCTCAGAGTTGAAACGATTTGTTCTTGTGTTCATGAAACTGTTGGTGAAGAATCAGAGCGATCTGGAAACATTTCAACTCGAGACCCAAAAGATGAAGATACTGTAATATACAACACATTTGTGTCCCTGCAGCACAAAAGCAGTCTTAAGTCGCTGGGGTATATTTGTAGCAATAGCCAACAATACATTGTATGGGTCACAATTATACATTTTTTAAATGCCAAAAATCATTAGGATATTAAGTAAAGATCATGTTCCATGAAGATATTTTGTTGTATCTCGACCAAATATTGTCCTATCCTAACAAACCATACATCAATGGAAAGCTTATTTATTCAGCTTTCAGATGATGTATAAATCTTATGACTGGTTTTGTGCTCCGGGGGTTACATATAATATTGAGTTTGCACAGACTGACATGATACAAGAAACAACAACCGAGGGAATTATTTTCCAGTTCACAGTGTCTCTTACTCTGTTTTCTGTTTGTTGAGTCTCCGTCTCCCGACCTCAGTGAGCACAGAGCCCAGCACGGCTCCGACAGCGCCTCCTACAGCTCCTGCGAGGAACACACCGAGCGCCGCTCCTGTCAGAGCCCCAGCGGCCAGCAGCTTCGGCACGCGTCCGGCGCAGCGGCTCGTCGTCTGCCACACGGAGCGGAGCGGAGCCGGAGCCGGAGCTGGAGCTGGAGCTTCCTCCTCTTCCTCCTTCAGAGCATGCAGGGAGCGGTCTCTGTCTCTCGGGATCTGGTTCTGCTGGAAGAGCGAGGCGCTGTAGAAGTCTCCTCCGCTCTCCCTCACCGTCTGCTGCACCTTCTCCAGCAGCTCCTTCGCTCCGCCGCTCTGCAGGACGTGATAGCGATCGCCGCATCTCTGCACCAGCTCCAGCATCTCCGGCCGCCGGGAGGTGATGTACGCCTCCACCTGCTCCACCTCCGCTGCATCCGGCAGCAGCTCCGAGCGCGTGAAGAGGACGATCGTGTGCCGGCGGACAGCGTCCGGTCCGAATGCACCCTCCAGCGCGCTCAGGGCTGACAGCTCGGAACGAGCGGGACGGTCAACGGGGACGCAGAGCAGGAACGCATGAGGGCCCGGGGCCAACAGGGCCACACATGAGGAGATCTGAGCTTTCACCTCCTCAGGAGACCTCTCCGACTGAAACCAGTCCGGAGTATCCACCACTGACACCTGATGGAGACAGAAACGAGGCTCGATCACGTGTGTCCTTCAAATACAGTCACTCAGTTTCAGAACTTAAAGGGGTCATCGGATGCCCATTTTCCACAAGGTGGTATGATACTCCAGGGTCTTAATGAAAGTCTGTAACATACTTTGGTTAAAATTTCTCAATGGTAGTGTAAAACAACACCCTTTTTACCCTGTCAAAAACAGCTCTGTTCACAGCGAGCCGTTTCGGTGCATGTCCCTTTAAATGCTAATGAGCTCTGCTGACCCCGCCATGCATGAATATATAACTATTCATGCCGTTAAAACTGCTCAAAAACCATTTAAAATACATTTATAAATGACTTCGTTATTTAGTCAAAACACCTTTATTAACCCTCGGTGTGAGACTGTTAAAGTGCCCCTATTATGGATTTTTGAAAATGACCTTTCATGCAGTGTGTAACAGCTCTAAGTGAATGAAAACATCCTGCAAAGTTTTAAATCTGAAAGTGCACCGTGTATAAAGTTATTGTCTCTCAAAAGAAAGAGTGGACTCTGAATCATTGAAACCAGTCGTTTTTAAAACGAATCCCAAGCTTTTCATCTTGACGTCAACATGAGACATTAGCATATTGCCGCCCACTTGTTGGTCTTTTCCCGTTGGTCTGAATGAAAATGCAAATTCATTCTTTGCCACTAGGTGCTGCTTCTGGAGGGTAAAAATATCTGTTTCCCCGGCAACGCTGTACACAAAGCAGCACTGCGCTCACAAACACTGCTTTATCAGGCATTACTTCATAACCCATACCGAACTTTGCATCCGATGTCCCCTTTAGGTTTGGTAGAAATAAAGCTGTTCTCATCACATATAACACATCATTCAGTAGCAGGGGCGTAGATTACGCGGGGGACGTGTCCCCCTCACTTTTAATATCACGTAAATTCGTCCCCCGCACTTTTTCGGGCAAGTGTGTTCGCATAGAGGTTTTCAAGAGCCGGTGTGAATAAATATAGATTTAAATTCAAAGAGACAGGATTCTGCCTTATTATGTGATAAAAAAGTGTTATTGGTTATTGTCCAGCAGTTATACGATTTCTACGCCGATTAAAAGCTAGAAATTAGAGAAAAATTAAAGTTGCCTATACACTGCTACGCCCCTGTTCAGTAGCTATGTTTCCATCACTCTGTTTTTATGCACATTTTGAAGTATCGCATCAGAAACAATGGAAATGCCAAATTTAAAAAACAAACCCTTAATTCACACACACACAAAAACCATTAGGGCTTCATTAGTTAACATTAGTTAATTCATTAGTCAACATAAACTGCCAATGAAAAATTCTTCTAAACGTTCATTAATCTTAGGAAATTCCAATATTTAATAACACATTGTTAAAAATAAAAGTAGCAACCGTGTTATTTAATGAGCTAACATATGAGCTTTATTTTTAACAAAGATTAATAACTTCTGTAACAAATGTAGCTGTTGCTCATTGTGAATATTAATGCATTAACTAAGATTAACTAATGAGATCTTATTGTAAAGTGATACCTATAGGTCTTTATAATTCTTTTGCACTTTAATCTGTGTACAATTTTTAACTTTATACATTTTTTGTGTATTGCTTTATTGTATTTAAATGTTCAGTTATTTTTGTTATAAGAAAAATGTTATTAAACCTGTATTATGACAACACTTTTTTGCAACTAAATTTCAATACCGTGATAGAAGCATTAGCAATTAATCGCAACATGAAAATTTGATACCGGCATATCCCTAATAACAGCCTCCCAGAACTGTCTTACACAACTGTTGATAGATTAAAAATCATAACAATCCCATAGACTTACACTGACGGAATGTTCAGATGAGCCAAGACTATTCAAACTCCAACTGTGAAAGCAATGACCGCATTTATTGTTCGTCGTAATTTAGGTTATTAGAAATGAAAATGAATATATTCAGTGGCTTCTCTCACTTTCCTCAGTGATATTTAGTGCCAGTTCATCGGGAAGTGACAATTCTGCTCTCTTTGACACGTTGGATGGTGCTTTGTTCGCAAATGTTTTATGTGATATTCCAATTTTGCAGATAAGTTAAATGTGCATCTTTGGATGGAAACACAGCTAATGACGTGTTCAGTGGAGAGCTGTGAGACACTGACCCGCGTGTCCTCCGCGAGCGCTCGGGCCTTCACACACCGCTGAGAGTCCTCCGTCAGATCACCTGTGTGCAGCTCAAACTCCTCACGACCCAGAATAATGTTCCCAGCCGCACTCTTCCCAGAACCACGCCGACCCAGCAGAACCAGCCTCAGCTCAGGCAGAGAAGAGTCGTCCAGACGATCAGAGCAGGAATAGGATGATACACCAGAGAGAGTTTCACTGCCATCCCAAGCCTCGTTGAAACTGTGATGGACTAGAAGAAGAAACATAAGCAAGTGCATCAGTGCCAGCACACGCTCACAGTCTTCACAAACTGATTAGTGTCCTGTGGATTCTAGCTCCAACACACTCGCCTGGAGGTAATCCTGAAGACCTTGCTTAGCTGGCTCAGGTGTGTTTAGTTAGTGTCGGAGCTAAACTCTGCAGGACTGAGGCCCTCCAGGAACAGATTAGTGCGCAGTGTTTGAGCTCCTGCCATCAATCTGACTTGTTGAGGTTATGGTTAGTCTTAGTGCTTCCTAACCCTAACCCTAAAATTATCAGATGAACAACTTCCACCCGCTGCACCATATAATCTAATATAATCCCACAGATGCACGCCGAGCCAGAAGATCACAGAGATGGCAGATAGGACAAATCATATAAACCTACTGGTGTTGCTGAAGCTCTGGCTGTTCTGGACCTCTGGCACCTCCATCATCTGACTGAGAATAGCTCCCTCTAGAGTTACACACAAATATAACAGAATCAGTTCAAACATACCATTCTCTCGTCTTCCAATGGGATTCATGTCAAACGTCACCTGACCAAACCGCAAAACAGGTCTCGTTGCATACGCTATTAACAGCAGAACTAAAGGCAAATTAATAAAACGGAGAGTTCCGGTGCTTGATTCTGATTGGCTGAGCCGCGTTCGAAGCTGTTGTAAATGACTCTACAAAGTAACATACACCTTTGTTTACGTTTGTCTGTTGCTCGGCAACCACTTTGTTGCAACCACAACTGTTTCTGAGGAGCTACATTGTTTGGTGGAAGAATACTGTTTTTATTAATATCATTACACTTTATTTGCTCTGTTTTATTTTGTGAAACCTTACTACGTATATGGAATAATGTTTTATAAAAGCAATAAACCCCGTGAAGCCGTGGTTTACAGTGAATTTATTACAGCTAACGTAACTAACAACGCCCCTTAGCTGTTATAAATTCACTGTAAACCACGGCTTCACGGGGCTTATTGCTTTAATCTGTGGATTTTTAAGGTTTATAGTCTTTGGTATCTTTTTTGAGTAAAACAGCTCTATATTTAACGAAGGAAGCATGCACAATGGTCTGAAGTGATGTGACCTGTTTCACAGAACACAGTTTTTTTGTGCATAACCCCAATTAGCAGCAACACGTCTCTCAGCTTTAATATTTGCATGATTAGTTTGATTAGATCAGGCGTGTCCAATCCTGCTCCTCGAGGGCAGATCAGATCCTGATCAGCTGGTTCAGGTGTGTTTAACTGGAGCTGCAGTGAACTCTGGCCTCCAGGAACAGGATTGGACACTTCTGGATCAGCTGAAGGACTTTCATGTGTTCGTTCAGTCATCCGGTTGGTTTCAGCACCTTTGTTGAGTGTGAAGCTCGGGCTTCTCTCCAGCGGTGTGTGTTGGAAGTGTGTTTCCTCACACTCGCGCTGCTGCGACTGAAGCCCGTTGATCAGGCGTCTCTCAGTCATTACATCACTTCCTGTTTCTCCAAACGTATTGATTTGTGTTTGTTTTCCTCCGTTCCACACCGTGTGTCTGGTTGCACTGAGCTTCATCTCTGTTTTCTCCTGCTCTGTGACATCTCTCTCGTGTGCTTCCAGGTGAAATCCTCCGTTCCTCTGGAGCATCTGCTCCACCTGAGACACAGGGAACTAGTTAAACATTAACCAAAATCCTGACAAATTCCTATAAGACTGCAAAAAAACATTTTCTTGCTTAGTATGTTTGTCTTATTTTCTAGTATAAATATCTAAACATTCTTGAATCGAGATGCATTTAACTTGACAAGTAAAATGACTTCAGATATTACGTTTTTTTTTTTTTTAAATGTTCAAAATTTTGTACGTTTTTGCTTAAAACAAGCAAAAACATCTGCTAATAATGAGGTAAGACAAGTAGACGTAATTGAAAGCCAAAACAAGATTATTTTTCTTGCCCCATTGTCAGATAATTTTGCTTATCATAATTTGTATATTTTTTTCATAAAATGACATAATATAGTAAGTAATTTACTTGTGAAGTAAATTAATCTTGATTCAAGAATTTTTTAGATATTTACACAAGAAAACAAGACAAAAATACTAAGAAACTCATTTTTTGGTAGTGTAAAACTGGACTTTGTCAAGCAAACTCATTCCATCCAAAGCAGTCTGAATTGTAAGATCAAAAGTCCATTCTTTTTTTATATAAATGCATTCAATACAGTAATCCCTCCATCGCTCATGGAGTCTCGTGAAAAAACACCACTGAGTCAAGAGTCCGAGAGCAAATGTTCGTGGTCCTGGACTTATTAGGATCTGATTATATTACCTGGTCTGAGCTCTGGTGAAAGGATGAAAGACCAGAGCTGCATTTCTCAAAAGCACCAGTAGATTGTGAAGCCTGTTGGTGTCAGTGGTTTCTAAGATCTCCGTAGGCTTATGATGCTTTTGAGATGCACAGCTCAGGCGTGTCCAGTTCGCTCCTCGAGGGCCACGTTCCTGCAGAGTTCGGCTCAAACAAGACCTTGGTTAGCTGCTTCAGCTCTTTTAAACTCTGCTGGAAAGAGTTCCTCTAGGAGCAGGACTGGAATAGCTAAACGAGTAGCTGTGAACGACAAACAATCATCTTCCATTCGGAGCGCTGTCTCCTCACCTTCTCCAGCAGAGCGAGGACCTGCTGTCTGTCGTCAGGTCTGCGGTTACTGATCACGTGGCAGCGGCCGTGACACCTCCTCACCACCTCCTGCAGCCCCGCCTCCTTCCCGAGGTACTCCTCCAGACCGCGGCCCATCAGGTATTCTCCACAGGTGAGCAGCACCAGCGTGTGAGCCAGCACCGACGGCCCAAACATGCGCTCCAGCTGATCCGGGATGCGCCGCTCCACCTCCGTGAACTCCCCGATGGGAATGAGGATGAGGAGGACGAAGGGCCCGGGAGCGCTGGAGCCCAGGAACCGCCGGGTCTCCTCCTGGATGTGGGCCTCCAGCTCCTGACCGCACCAGTACCAGCGAGGGGTCTCCACGATGCTCAGCCGCCGGCCCGCCGACAGTCCGCTCCGGATCTGAGTCACGCGGGACGAGGCTGAGGGGCCCGGGGCCGAGCTCTGACCCAGCAGGGTGTCCGCTGTCATGGTCTTCCCACAGCCGATGCTGCCCACCAGAACCAAACACAGTTCGGAGCGGGAACGGCCAGAGTCGACTGAAACACAGAACCAGACACTAATAAGCAGAGCTGGGAAGGTTACTTTGGAAATGTAACAGGTTACAGATTACAAGTTAGCCTATTTAAAGTGTAAATTTTTCTTTTATGCCAAAAATCATTAGGATAATAAGTAAAGATCATGTTCCATGAAGACATTTTGTAAATGTCCTACTGTAAATATATCAAAACTTAATTTTTGATTAGTAATATGCATTGCTAAGAACTTCATTTGGACAACTTTAAAGATGATTTTCTCAATATTTTGATTTTTTTGCAGATTTTCAAATAGTTGTATCTTGCCCAAATATTGACCCTTATGACTGGTTTTGTGCTCCAGGATCACATTTTCACAAGTAACTGTGATTTACAGATTAGTTACATTTATTTTGTAATTAAATCACGTAACTCCATTACATGCAACTAGTTACTTCCCAACACTGCTAATAAACACAAAACCAGACTCTATGAACTCATTCATCCGTCGCCACTGCTTTGAGCCGCAGACGTGTAATAACTCAGCAGCCGCAAACAAAGTGACGTCCTGCCGACACTGATCGACTATGACATCACAGAGAGTCAAAGCTTCAGTAGTGACGTCACAGACAGCAGACCGACACTTTTAACAAACTTCAAGAGCCTCCAGACACTGAGAAACATCTGGAACTACGATAACTTAATACATTTCTGGGGTTTCAGCACCTCATCCACTTTTAGTTTCAGACTCTTGTTTGAGTTTCATGTGATTAATATCTCTTTGTCTTCAAGCATTCCTGTAGTATGCGAGACACCTGTCAGTCCAGTTACGCAGCATTCAGCAGACCACTCTCTCTCACACACACACACATCAGTAACAGAAAATATAACTTCAACAGAGTAAATAATTAAACTCTAGTGTGTGTGTGTTTCTGCTCACTGTCACGAACATGCCAGGTTTAATAAAATTACTAATTTAATGAAATGTGAAATGAAGAGTCAATTACAAGCCCTTGCTGTGCTGCAGGAGAACATGAAGATGTGAGGAAGAGTGTGGTGATCTGACAGTCTTACCCTGATCAGAGGAATCCATGTGTGTCCGTCTCTCTCTGCTGATCTGAGTGGCAAGCGTCTCTGTGTGTGTGTCCTCTCGTGTCAGAGACGTGTCACACCTCTCGTCTTGTGTGTGAATCACAGCGATGCAGCCGCACCCAGACCCACCAAACCTGCATCAGCCGCTCACACGAATCTGCACCCAGCCTAGACTGGTTCGATGGTGTTCAGTTGTTAAGGTTTGTGGCCCTGGGCAGCTGAGAAGTGCTCAAAACCCCTCTAAACCTGAGAGCAGAGCAGGCTTTTCAGCAGGACAGGAGGGCTTGCTGTTTCTACAAAGCTCAACTTCTTACTTTCACATCCAGAGACTCCATGAGTTGAGTTTTATCTAGTTTTTGAGAGCAGAAACACATCTAGTGTCTAACCTCAAGCTCACAGATGCGTCAAGTCTCTTTAAAAAAAGCATCTGTGACATTAAACCGGATGTGTTTTTATTCAGGAAGAGTTAGGGTTAACTTTTAATCAACTCGCCCGGTGAGATTCTCTGCATCAGGACTAGAGAAGAAACTCACGCTGATGTCTGTAACGCTGAGAACGCTTCACACTGTGAATCACTCATTTCTGAAAGCCCACTTTATATTCTCAAACCTCCAGAGTTAAAAGAACATACTAAAATGGAGGTTTTTATTGAGGAAAAACAACAGAAATACAAAATCAACATTAGATCAGATAAAACTGGAGCGCAGGGTTGAGAAGCAGGTTAAAAGTTGAAGTGTGTGTGAGTTGCAGTGCAAAACTGCGCGAGTCGTAAAGTCTTTAGTGGATGTTTGATCAGACGCTGAGGAGCAGCTGGCAGCACCATCGGGACACGAGTCCTTCACAGACCCGGCATCACGTAGGCGATGTTGTCCAGAGTGTTTGACTGACCACAGACAAACAGACACAGGTCAAATCATTTCTGGTGCTGATGTTAGTGATGATACTGATGTTTAAGTGTTAATATTTTCCCCCTTTTCTGGTTATATTGGACGGCCTACATCTATAGCATTTATTCCTTTCAGTTCATGATATAATCTGACAATTTCTCAGGCACTTGTCTAGTCCGTTGGGGTCTGTCCTTTTTTGGTCCGTCTGATGAATCCATTTTGGGGTTCAGATCATGAGGTTCGGAGTCAGGACAATAGCTATTTTTGTTCAGATCTATCTGTTCATGTTCGGTTTCTGCATCACCTGTTTCACGGGTGTTGAATCGTTTGACGTGAGTAGTGTTCCGCATGTATCTTGCCCCAGTGGGTGATTCTACAGTCACTTGGTTTCCAGTTTTGCTAACGACCTGGTGCAGGACTGGGTTGAATGGAGTCGTGAATTTATCTACCTTTTCTTGTTGCACAAGCACTGTGTCTCCTACATTCACATTTGAGTATTGTGCCCCCCGACGCTCATCTGCATATCTTTTTGCTTTTGCTTTTTGTTCTGCATCCCTGTCACATACTTGTTGATCTTTACATGCTTATGAAAGGTTGGGTAGCTTCCCCCGAATCTTCCTATTAAAGAGCAGTTCAGCTGGGCTTTTTCCAGTCATGGGGTATTCAATACCTCGATACACAGTGACGTATTTCCTCAGCTCTTTTTTCCAATCAAGTCCCTCAGCCTGTGCAATCCAGATTCTTTTCATTAGCGATGAGTTCTGGCGTTCCACCTCCCCATTAGCCTGAGCCCATTTGGGAATGGTTTTGACATGTCTGATGCCGTTACTCTTGCAGAACACATTGAATTGTTCAGATTTAAACTGCGGTCCTTGATCTGACCGACATGTGATAGGCAGGCCGTGTCTACTAAATATAGACTCCAAGCTGTCTATGATTTTGTCTGATGTTGTCGACAACAGAACATCATATTCGTAGTAGCGACTATAATAATCCACCACAACAAGTATGGAGTGACCAGTTGGGAGTGGGCCTAACAGGTCTATGGCCACATCCTGCCAGGGTCCATCTGGTAGTGGTGTAGGTCGTAACGGCTCAGGTGTACCTGGCCTGGATACTACCTGGCACCCGTGACATGACTTGCAGTACTTTTCTGTGGCTCTATCCATACCCGGCCACCACACTTTGGACCGGAGATGCTGTTTAGTGCCCACAATTCCTAAGTGTCCTTCGTGTGCTAGAGCCAACGCTCTGGGTTGTAATGCTTTTGGTATCACTGTGCGTGTTCCACGGAGGACCAATTGGCCAATGCAGCACAGCTCGTTGGCTATTGGAGTGTATGCTTTACAGTTCTCAAAGGGCCCACTGTTAATTGCAGAGCGTACTTCTTTCTCTCTGGTGGTCAAAGCACAAGTGTTGCACTCACTGCAATAAACCTAACATATTCTTCTGAATTGTGTACATGCCTCTCAATTGTTGATGCTTCTCCCAACAGTCTTGACAGCGAGTCTGCAATGTTCTGTCTGCCAGGTAAGTGCGTGACCTTGAAGTTATATGGCTGTAGTCGGAGTACCCATCTTTCTATCCGGGCACAGGGTTTGGAGCGGGGGCTATATATGGCTTCTAATGGTTTGTGGTCTGTGACCAGCTCAAATTCTCTGCCATAAATGTAAGCGTGCAGTCTTTCACATGCCCACACGAGAGCCAGGGCCTCTTTTTCTGTCTGTGAATATCTGCACTCACAGTCTGTTAGACCGCAACTCACATAACATATTGGCACTGCCTCACCTTTTTGGATCTGAACCAAGACAGCCCCCAGCCCCACCGGGTTTGCATCTGCAATCACTTTAGTTGGTGCATCTTTTTCAAAGTGTGTCGTAGTGGTTCTGACAGCGTTGCATACTGTGGGATGAATCTGCTGCTGGAGCCCAGCAGACCCAGGACGCTCCTAACCTCTGAAGCCGTCTTTGGTTCTCTTGCCTGCCTTACAGCTCGTACCCTTTCTTCTGTCGGACCAATTCCTTTCTCAGACAAAAGGATTCCCGAGAATATCAGCTTGCTCATGTTGAACTGGCACTTTCAGGGTTCAATGTCAATCCCCGTTCGCTCAGTCTTTAATAGCTGCATGTAGACGTTGGTCGTGCATTTCTTGGTCGCTGGCATGAACAATGATATAATCTGAGATATTTTCTACACCTTCGATTCCTGCTAAGGCATTGGCAACCTCGTGCTGATACTGTTCGCTGGCAGAGGATACCCCAAAAATCAGTCTTTTATAGCGATACACACCATTATGCACCGTGAACGTTGTGATATCTCTTGATTCAGGCCTGAGCTCCAGCTGATGGTAACCCCATTTTAAATCCAACTTGCTGAATATAATTGAGCCGCTGATGCCTTGGAGAATCTCATCCACGGTAGGGATAGAGTAACGCTCCCTCACTATGGCACGGTTAGCCTGCCTCATATCCAGACACAATCTTATGTCTGAGTTGGACTTAGGCACTATGACTACAGGATTCACCCATGGTGTGGGAGCACTGACCGGTTCAATTATGTCCATTTCCATTAGCTCCTTTATTTTCCGCTCTACTGCTCTCCTGAGATTAACGGGATGCGTCTGAGCAGCTGTGCTACTGCTCTCACACTTGGGTCTGTGTGTAGGGTAACTTGGTTGGTGTTTAGCTTGCCAACCCCATTGAACACTTCTGGATACTTTTGTTGCAGGACTTGCTTTAATTCAATCACGGCAGAAATGTCAGCGTCTGTTTTTAAAACTCCGAGCTTGATGGCTGTTTCTCTTCCTAAGAGGGGTTCTCCTTTTCCTCGTATCACGATGAATTCAGCCTGCTCTGTTCTGTTGGATATGCTTACCTCGCATTGGAACGCACCCTTGACTATTAGAGGTTGGTTTGAAGAGTATGAGCAGAGCTTTCTCTCTGTTTCAGGAATGTATGACTTGGATTTAACTTTGTTCTGTTGGAGATCTTCCCAGGCGTCCTCATCAATCACATTATTTGTAGCACCCGAGTCCATCAACAGTCTTAGTTTCACACCACCCACAATGAAAGTCAACTTTTCTGACAGTTTTTTCCTGGACAACAAATGCATAATCAGCTTCCTCCACACTGTTTACACGATTCTTCTTGGGGTTTTTCGTGTGGCACATTTTTGAAAAATGGTCTTTTCCATTACATTTGTGACATACTTGACCTCGTGCGGGACATGTTTGGTCTCTGCTTACATGGTCTTTGTCCACACCTGTAGCATTTCCTGTCCACTTTTTCATCTTTTCTCTCTACATGCTTGTTTCTGGTGTATACTTTATTTCCTTTCTCTCTTTTGCGCCACTCGATTGACTGCGCCAGTGTCAGGTCTCAACGACATGACTGACATCTGCTCTTCAATTCTCTCACACTGTGATGCTAGTTCTACTGAGCGAGCAAGTGTTAGACTCGGACCTTCCTCTAATAATTTCCGACAAACATAATCTGATGTGCATTTACTAAGGATAGCATCTCTTATCTGGTTGTCTGTGTCTGCTTGAAACCCAGTCTTTTGCTGCTTGTCTCAGGCGAGTAGCAAACTGTTGTATCGTCTCACCTGTTTTCTGGTTCAACTTGTGAAAAGCTTGCCGGCACTTGGGGCACGAAATATGAGTTCAAAGCAGTCACTGCAGCGTCATATTCAGTAACCTCCCCTGTATTTTCCAGGGTTGAAAATATATCTTGTACATCTGGTCCTGCAAGATGCAGCAACAAAGCTCTCGCGTCTCTCGAGTCATCTGAGATTATGAGTCCTTTCCCATCTGCATACAGTTCGAAGGACTTTAGCCATCGTGTCCATCTCGGTCCTAACGTGGCTGGGTCTGAAAAACATTCAAAATTCTGTATCCCACTTTTCTCCGTCATTGTTCCTGTTCAAAGTGCTAAACTTGTTTTCATAATTTAATATCCTCGTCGCCAGTGTTACATCTCTGCCTTAATTGAATTAAACACACCAACACGCTTTTACACTTCCACTCCCGTGCCCTCTCACTTGTTTACTGAAGATTACAACACATCAACTTCTTTACAGGTAACAGCCCGCTCTAGTGACCAACACTGGAAACAACCCCAGTAACTCCAGTACATAACAGGATTCATTGTTACTGAATGTTGCGTTATTTCTTGGCATGTTTTTATGATCTCAAATGTAACTCATGGTTCTGGCATGTTTAGACTAATATCCAGTTTCTTATGATTACTGTATAATAGTGCATATATTCACATATGAATTTATTATTTTATCCACTGATTTTACTTTTTTTTTACTTTTACTTTTTTTTTTTTACAGCCGTGTAATAAGACTTGGCTACACAAGAATAATTCCCAGTATTGTTAGTTTTTAATGTAATAGAATAGCGTTCCAATCACACCAAGGACAACAACAATAAGATTTTAACAATCATTCTAATCCACACCACGGCTATAACGATAACAACACAGAGGAACAATACTGGAATCACTTTCAAAACCATTTTGTTTCCAGCGGAGAAGCAATAAAAACACCGACGACAGCCGATATCCATAATCACGAACATTTAAAGCGACAGAGGACAAAACTGCAGATCATAAATAATACACAGAACATTCAAGTTATCGTTCTTGGTGTGAACGGCTCTTAGATCTGATTCTCCATCACATATTCTTCATATCTGCTTTGGACATGAGTTTGAGCAAATGGCACAATTTTAATATTTTAGAGAAAAAATACAAACGAACCGCATTATGTACAGATCGGCTGCTTGTGATGCTTTGTCAGATAATCACATATGAATTACTGCTACACAATATTAAAGGACACAATCTGAGACAAACATGAGCATTATACTGTCTATTTAATTTGATGACATTCAGTCAGAGGTATGGTTAATTTACAACAAAACACACTCAGTGAAAACACACTCGTTGATACAAATGAGCAAACAGTGCATTGGTTGTTTTGTATGAGTGGTCTAAAGCTTCACACACATCAAGGGCCAAGTTCAGTGTTAGAAACAAACCCAAGGTGAAACGAAGAAGAGGATTTGCTGCGGGAGTCTTCCTCAGAGTCTGAAGATCTGCTCTTCATCGAGGGAAGATGATCTGCAGCTTCAGCGCTTCCTGCAACAACAAGAATGTGCTGATCCTCAGGCTGTTTAAGATCAGGATGAGTTTGTTTCTTCATCAGGTTTGTAGAAATGCAGCACTGCATCAGTGTCTCAGCAATGGATGCTCTGCAGTGAATGGGTGCCGTCAGAATGAGAGTCCAAACAGCTGATAAAAACATCACAATAATCCACAAGTAATCCACAGCACTCCAGTCCATCAGTTCACATCTGGAGAAGACAAAAGCTGAAACAAACCCATCAAGAAATACAAGTCCATAATCCATAATAACGCTTCCTCCAGTTAAAAAGTGCATCTGCTGTTGTCTCTCACATCAAAATCCAGCCACATATTTGTTTAGAGCTGTTTAAATGCTGCTTGATCTGTGCAGATTTCTCTCCTGATTCAGACCAGAGCACTTTGTGCGCGTCACGCGGATCGATATCAGAGCGAGCGTCAAATATCGCGTGAATAAGAAACGAGCGATTCATTTGATCATGTTGTGGCTACAAGTGATAGAGCTCCGACCGGAAACTAACAATGAAATGTAACTTTCTGCTTAATAGATTGTGTTTTATTAACGTCTACATCTACGCCAGACCTTAAAATAATGCAAAAATAGTAATTATTGTTGTACAGTGTGACAAAAATGACGCTGTATTGATGTGCGCATGCTGTAGTTTTAGCTATATGCCTTCTAGCCTTAACCGCTGTGTGTTTGAACAAACATTCTGGGCCCTTATTCTCAAAACATCTTCAGGTTATAAGCAGCTCATAACTCGCCGATTTAGGAGAAAATCTTAGAAATAATGAGTGTGTCAGTTCTAAATTTAGGACTCCTAAATGTTTTGCTCTAAGAGTATTTCACCAAGTGTTTTAGCGCTAAATCTAGCTCCTAAATCTGTGAAACATTAGGAACAGTGAAGAGGAGTCCTAAGTCACAAACTATCCTCCCTGCTGAAGAAAAAAAAACATTACAAACCATCACAGAAATTCTAATGGTTTCCACTACAGATACCATTACACACCATCCACTATTAACCATTAAACCCATTAAATAATGGTTTTCTGTCCTGTGTTTTGGGACATATTCCATGAGGATTTATTGGTTTTAACAAGCCCCCAATAGAAGGTGACTGATTACCAGTAGAGACCCACAGGCACCGTTACAGTTTCCATTAAAACCAGTAAAACCATTACAAATTCTGTGATGGTTTCTATAGTTTTTTTCCAGCAGGGATATCTGCCTCGGAACATAAACATTTTATAAACACTCTGCATTTATTTGCACACGTTTCCTACGCATCTTTTTTTTGTTCTTCTGGTTTTGGAGGTTATCCCAACTCCAGGTTTTCCTTTGATTATATCTTTGTTTTCATTAACAAGCTGGGCAAGAAGTAACAGCTGTTCTTGTTGTACAATATTCCCATGAATAAATCTCTGACAGAGACTATCAGCCAATCACTGTGTGCATAGTTAATAAGCTTGATGACATCATCCATAGCAACGAGGTTAGCCCCGCCCCCTTACTCAGAGCTTAAGACTTCTGTCTATTCTTCAGTACAAGTTTGTCTCAGCAGCTTTGTGAATAGGTTTGAAGAGAAAACTCTTAGCTAAAAACTTGTACTGCTATTTAGGAGAACTCTTAGTGGTAAGTGATTTAGTTTTGTGAACACGTGTGAGTTTTGTGAACACGTGTTTTGTGAACACCTTTAAACTTAATCATAACACACAAAATAATTGATCAGACACTCTCGCTCTTATATATTGTATCTTTATTATAGCATACTCTCTATACAAGTATTATGTGCACAATAAAATAAAACTGACAAAAATGTCAACAGCTTCAGGTAACATGTCAGTGCTGTGTTTTATTTACAGAACATGACAGGAAAACTAATTCTGCCTTCAGTCAGTGTGAAATAGCACCTTTGATTCATAAAACAAACAAAAAGAATAATTTACTACTTCAACAATCTATTTAACGTGTCTAATTATATGTTTCATATCTATACACAGGCATAATATAGAGGAGTTAAACACATATCACTAACACTGAGGAATCTGAGTCTAATTGCAATAGAGCGTCTCAATCACTGGCATATGAACATGAAAAATGATTCTTCCAGTGAAAGGACAACAAAACCTGAAATCATCTACATTAAGTTGTCTGGCGTAAAAACACACTAAATGTCTTGGGGAAAAAATGAACAAAAATACAGGAAAGTTTGTGTGAGTGTATCAATATATCAGTATGAAGACATCAGAAGTCAATGTAAAGAATGTGTGTGTGTGTGTGTGTTAGTATGGGATTGGTCCATAATACGCCGTATAAGCCGCTATGATCCCGGCGGTTTCAGCCATGTGTTCACAGGCCAGATTCACTTCACACACCTCTCGCAAACTGAAGGACGGAGAGACAAAAACCAGCATGAGAATCACAACACAAACGCGTCTTCATCAGTCAATTATCAATGATCAAATGACGTGATCAGACATTGATGAGCATCAGAGGAGCTACAGTCAAACCAAAATTTATTTAGAAACCTTCAACATTTCTCCCATTATCACAGTTTATTCACTATAGTTTAGAAAATGGTTAAAGATGAGTTAAACTGTGTCAGAACAAACTCATCTTGATAATGTCAGATAACTTTGATAGAAAGGTATGGAATGAATTCTGTTGAATAGCTGTCAGTTGTTAAATGTAAGAACACAATTAGATAAAACCAATTTAGCTCAACCAATTACCAAGCAGTGCTTCATTTTGTTCAGTCTGTGGTGTAAAAAGATCACATTAGCAATTAAAGAAAAACACTTAAGCTAAACATGATCTGGTCAAAGTGTCTGAATAATTTTTGGTCCCCAAATTTGTATCAGTTTAACTGGTAGTCCACTGTATGAAGAATTTCTGGGTATAACATGTCACAGTTTACTTTATTTTGCTATCCTCACTTACATAAATTAACTATAGTGTCCTGCACCCACTAGTAACAAAATATCAAACATTATATCTGGTGTCTGAATAGTTTTTGGTTTGATTGTATGTGTGTGAGCCTGAGGTGTGTGTGTGTGTGTATGAGATGTGTGTGTGTGTGTGTG